TAAAAGCATTTGATTTCTGTGTGAAATCACTTCTCCCACAAGATTTCACTTTTCTTTTCATTTAATTTTTTGTTTTTCTTTTATAAATAAAACAATTAGTATATAAGAGAAAAAGGTTTTCAATCGTTTACACAATTATTGTTATTTGTTGTGATTGTTTTGAAATATTTTGAAAAGTTTTTGTAAATTTTTTTGTAAATTCTTAGTTTTAATTATAGTTTTAATTTGTTTTTATGATAAGAATATTGATAACTTTCAATTAGCAATGTTTTCCAATTTATTTTAATTAAAATTTTATTTAATTATTATTCTGACATTTATTTCACATTTATATACCGGCAATGAATTAATGTTTTATAATTGAAAAGTAATAGTAAATAACTTTTAGCAAAATTAATTCATTTCGATATTACATCCAAACAAACCTTAATTTATTAGCATTTTTATATCTGATTGTTATGTAAATCACATTTAAAAACTAAGAAACGCTTTAGTTATTGGTTTTATTGATAGTTTAAAATTCATTTTAAGTACAAAATAATAATAGGAATTGCTTTTAAATAAAAGAGTTTTACGACTAAAAAGTCATCTCTCGTTTCAGATATAGCATAGCTTTAAAGTGAATCCAATTTGTATTTCCTTTAAATTATTTTAACAGTAATTCGACGAAAAAGGTATTAAACGAAGAAATTTATTGATTTTTATTCAAATCAAATTTTGTTTAGTATTTTTCAAACATAATTTGCGGTCAAAGAATATAGTGATAACTTTTTGTGAAACGGAAACTCAATATACCATTCACTTCATTAGACTCGTAAACCTCTTAAACTACAGGTGCTCTTCAGTTTGGCTCCACATTATTGCCATCGAGTCGTAGTTTCTTAACTGTAATTCAATACTTATTTCATATATAAAGGCTTTATTTTAGGCTTTTTCTAATAGAAATGGTCATAAAAATGGGAATTAAGAGAGCTTTGAGTCTATATAATTGATGGCATTTTTATGATTTAGATTAGGTTTTGGTTATTTATTACATTAACTTATTATCAGAAAATGTAATTCAAATTCAAACAAATAATAAATTTTCAATTAATGTCTTTATTTTAAATTTCTGGTTTAATGTTATGATTACTTTTGGCTCATCAGTGATCACACGATATATGAAATCAAAATCAAATATTTGTGTTTTCACTCCAGGAATACTGTTTTAATTAATTAAAAGTAAATTACATGAAATTTATTTGATAAAAATGTTAAAACCACCTATATACATTAGAATTGCAGTAGAGTACTCATTGCAGAATAATCTCTCTCTCTCTCTCTCTCTCTCTCTCTCTCTCTCGTAATAAGGAAGTTATGATTTAATAGTCACTTAATGTTAAGTGAATTATATTTGATTGAAACGCTTTTTGCACAAAACAAAAATCCCAAAAACAGAAATCACTAACAAATAAGTTATATTAAAACTTATGATTTGTATAAATTGTGAGTCTATTTACAAAATACTTTATTGTTATAATAAATTAAACTTTTTTTATATCAAAACTATTAACGTAAGTCCATATTTTAAACAAAATACGATCAATATAAATTAAAACAAACTTTTCAGCTTATTCAGACCGTTAACTCTACTTTATCTGACACTTTCTAATCAATTGATTTTTATCAATACAATAAACTATATTTAATATAAAGTTGTAAAAATAAAAATTTAATTTAACAATTTTAGATCAAATATTATATATTTATTTAAAATCATAATTTATCATCATTTTTGATGAAATGAAAAAAGTTTTTTAAAAGTTTGTATCAAATATATTGTGCACTGAATTAGAAACTCAACCCATAAACGTGTTTATAACTGTAATGTAAGTATATTTCATATACAGTGTTATCTAAACATAGAGTAGATCTGCAATAATGGCTAAAACCAGACAAAAGCCCTCATAAAGGGGTCATTTTAGGCGCACAACCAACGCATAAACCACTGGTAGATATTGTAAACATACTATTGTAGCTCAAGTGTACTATCAATAATAGCATTATGCTCGTTTCCAAATACATCATCGTGAATTTTATTTATAAATAACCGATAATCAAGTTAATTTTAAACTTAAATCGATCTGTTTTTGTGTGCCATTTGTGTGAATGTGTCTAATCTTTCGGTATATGTATATTAAGTGCAACTTTTTGTTTATCGTGTTTTATATGAAATAAATTTGATTTGATTTAGTGTTTAGAGAAAAGTGTGGCAAATGTTTGCCATTTAATAATAATTACAATTTAATGCCTGAAAATAGCCGTCGATTGAAACCAACAATTGATAATTTAATGCCAATTATATCTGTCATTCATTAACATTAAGGGTATTTTAAAATTGAATTAATATTTACAGATATCCTAATCTATTAATTGCTTATCTAATCAAATGAGTAATATTTCATTGGCTCCCAATTCCTCTTCAGATACAGTAATCCCTAAAAATAGTTAACAATTTTATTGTTTTATTTATTTGTTTCGTTTTTTTCGCTTAACTAAACTTATATAACAATAGAGACTATTAATGATGTCTAGACTGTCGGGTGTTTGACAGGAAAACACCAATTATGTGATGGTAAAAGTGATGGTATGGTTACCCCCTCTCGTTGCACTGTATATTCAATACTGGACTCAATGATCGATCAAATATTTAATTTTCATTTTCAATATTGAATTTATTGCTCAAACTTTTTGTGATGAGAAACATGTGTTTAATTATACGGCAAAAAAGCGAAACAAAATTATATACACAGCTATTATCGCTAAACACGGAGACTATTAATCAGATTATATATATTGTATACACAAAGCGAAGTTCAGGCATAGAAACCAATGGTTATATACTGTATATATTGCACAACAGTTTTTTGTTCAATTAGTTCATGAATTAAGTGTTTGGTTACGATCTGCTTATGTATATGTCTTAACATCAAAAGTATTGTCAAACAGTGTTTGGTATATATATTGCCGGCGTTTTTGTCTGCTTTTGAATTCGCCTCCAATTCTGTGCCGAATATTCTGTGAGTTTTGTTTCGTTAAAGACATGAAATTCTTTGAGCGCATGAATTGGTGAAGTCGTGTCACAACAAACCCCAACACTTCCCTATTCAACGACAACTGTCTTATTGTTATTGTAAGAGATATTTGTGTGAATAGTATTTGAATATTGAATTTGTTGAGACAAATGAATAAATCATTTGATATATTGATTGTAAAGACCGGTAAATACTATGCGTTCACGAGATTTGTATATCGATTAGGAAATCAGTTTTAAATCCAGTAGTAATAAAAATATAGTTATAAAATAATGTTAACCCAAATACTAGTCTCAAAACATACAAATCTCTCGTTTTAATAATTGACAGCAATTTTTTCATAACTCATAATTAAATTAAATTATTTGAATGTTTTTCACAACGAGTGTTGAATAGTTTGTTACCGTATTTTATATTATAAACCAATGTTTCCAATCATAAGTTGTTTGATTGGTTCTGTTGTTTAAATGAGTTGTGTTAATGGTATGTGTTTTCAATTTATTCATTGCATATAAATGTCTATTTTAAATATTCACACGCTACTAGGAATTTGCAAAATAACCCTATTGTACACCATTCCGCATATGTCAGTTGATAATTAGCTCATTTAATTAAAAACACATTTAGAAATATTGTCGGCAAAAAAATAGTAGTTTTATTTAAAGCCAACTATTCTTAAAATACAGTATAAGGAAAAATTCAAACATTTTTGGGAACATTTAATATATTAGAGTAATATTAATGAGAAAGCGTTTTATTGCGGGGTTTTTCAGTGCAAAATATAAATTACTTTATACTGTATACCAGTTTTGGTTAATACCAGTTTTACCATCATATGGCATAACCATCAACATGATCATAATATTATTATGTGACTCGTATACCGAGCACTCATTGCCAGCGTTATTACATTTTTATAATCTATTGTGTAATTGATTTGTAAACACAATTTGTCTGTCAATACAAGTGTTGATTATAATTTAGTGAAGTTTTTATTTGTTACATAAGTTTTTTATATCAATTGTATTCATGACAAAGAAATTGAATGTTTTCTATGGTGTAGACATTCAGACGTTTTGATTGAACAAAACAACACACAAAACAATTATATAATGTAAATGTAATGATGTTTATCTCAATGTCTCAACTAATTAAATACTTGCACTCACTTTACAAAGTATTGTATAATAATTATATTAAAAAGCTAAGTCTATGGCCTATTGTTTAATGTATTGAATTCTGTATTGAAAATATCTGGACTGAAAAAAATTAATCACATATTTATTGAATTCAATTTCAAAAACACATATTTTTTATTTGTCCACAAAATTGTGTGATTTTTCTCTTCAAATGAGAGCACAAATGCTATGAATGAAAATGTCTTGTTTTTTGAGGTCAGTTCACAACTATTATGGATTCACTTTCTGTTTTGTCGATCACTTTTTTCATTGATTTCTTTACGCTTTATATTGTAATTAGTGATTGAATTCATATTAAAACGGATCCAAACTATTTATTAAATTAAATTAAAAAATAAGAGACATTGCATTCAATATACTGTTTGTGACAATAATTATCCGACACAAAAGTCTTAAAATTGTAGGAAAATTGCATATAATATGTGATATCAGAAAAAAATTAATTATTAAATTTTGTTTTTCGAGACCTGATATCAGTATAAGATTCACATATTGTTAGTTAAATACCAAGATTTAGGATTCAGACCATAGATATGAGAGTCAATTGTTTAGTTTGCAATTCAGTCGCGATCGACACTAGATTTGATTGAAACTCTTTGCACTTATATCTGTGGATATCTTGAGATCTATGTATTTGTATTTGTCACACAATTTGTGAACGATTTGACTGATAATGACTATTAAATTTGACACCGGATTAGATAATCCAAGTTTTAACGATAACTATATGGAGACAAGTGTTGAAACAAACACTAAACACCAGTTTCTTGTTTCAGATGCCGTCGATTGTAATGACCAACGAATAAGTGATATTAAGCCGAAGAAATCGTTCGTTCAAATGAGTGTCATCTCAGAGCCGGTGTCCCTCTCGTGGCACGACATCAATGTCTTCGCCAAAGATTCTTTGGCCAAACGGAAGAAATTAGATCCAAAACATATACTGAGAAATGGTATGCAATCATACATTTCATAATGAAATAAATGCTCACTTTTTTTATCACTTCAGTCAGTGGTTGCGTAAAATCTGGTCAATTGATGGCCATAATGGGCGCGAGGTATGGCCTGTCAGACAGTCTTTAATTTCATGGTTAATGATTGTATAAATTGATTCCTGAATACAGCGGTGCCGGCAAAACAACCCTAATGAATGTGTTGACGCAAAGAAATTTATCGGACATCACAGTCGAGGGTTCGGTCAAAATCAACGGCAAATTAGCTGATCCGAGTAGCCTCACAGCCCTCTCTGCATACGTGCAGCAAAACGACCTCTTCATCGGCGCCCTCACCGTTAAGGAACACTTGATATTTCAGTCACGCGTTCGTATGGATCAGTATTTATCCGAAGAGATCAAAGAGGACCGAATCCAACAGGTCTTACAAGACGTAAGAAATGTGTTCAATGCTCGCAATTCAGTGCAAAACTGGTTATAATGTGATTATTCTTCACTGTTTAGTTGGGTTTATCTGAATCGTCAGACACTATGATTGGAAAGCCAGAAGAAGCCGGAGGAATATCTGGTGGAGAGAGAAAGAGATTAGCGTTTGCTTCTGAGGTTGACATCCATTTCGTAATTAAAGTGAAATTAATAACTAATTTTTATATCAATTTAGTTATTAACGAACCCATCGATTATGCTGTGCGACGAACCGACCTCTGGTTTGGACTCGTTTATGGCCTTAAGTGTAGTGGAAGTGCTCCGAGATATGGCAGCTTCGGGTCGAACAGTTGTCTGCACAATACATCAGCCGTCATCAGAAGTGTTCAGTATATTTAGCCATCTCTTGCTTATGGCAGAGGGAAGAGTCGCTTATT